AAAACATTTCGATACGTTAAAACCTTCAGCCGGGTGCCAGGTGCAGTTTTTAAAAGCGAAGAAAATAAATTTTAATGTATTTTACTTTCTGGTGTGTAGTCGGGAAAATTTTAAAACGTTTCTGGTATTTTTTCCAAAGCGGTCGTTTTCGGTTCCGCTGCACTCTTTAGATAACTAACTAATTGGAAAATTATGGAAATTCCTCGGTTTTAAAATTAATTTCCACTTGTCATATATTTAATTCTTCTCTAAAATCTATCATGATTTCTTTTCGGTTTTAATTGGTAAAATAACTGGCCCAACTATAGTCATAAATTAAGCTGTTGGAAACGAAAATCCATAAGAATTAAACGGAACTACAAATAAAGACCAAATTTAAATTAAGTTATACAATTACTCGACGGACAAAAACCCAGCTCAATTTGCTTTAATCTAAATTGCTTAACATTCCCTTAAGACAATCGATTCGGTCTAGCAATAAATCTTTAGGATGTCACCCTCTAACTTGCAACCCTAAAAACTATTTAAGGTAAATGCGATATTTCCCAACAAAATAGGAGGGAAATAAAGCCTGTAATTATTATGCTTGTTCAAGTTATCCAACTGTGTTTTATTATAGTACACTACTTTTCTTATATGAATAATTTCATTTTTTTTCGCTCTTAAAATGATTAACTTATAAGATTTTCGAATCTTAAATGATAACCCATATACACGTCCCTAGCGAATCTGTCGACACTTTCTTCAAGCACTTGTCAAAGCACATGGAAGAAAACTATAATAAATCGAGGAAAAATGAGGAAGTTCAACACCCTGTAGCTACGAAACAAAGCAAAATCAGACCTATGTTTATATAAAAAATAAATATTATTTTTACGTGAGGAATGGCACATCATGGTTTTTTGAGACATCCTGTACAGAGATACATACACTCTGTATAGGACTGTAAATATAGAAAATGACAAAAAACATGTACCTATATCATAAGGAGATTGAAATTGACAAAATATCAATATACAACTTTTAATCGGCATTAAACGACCTACAGAATTTTGCTAACAATAAAAAAAACACTAGCGCACATGTTTTTTGTAGAAAAAATATTCTAGCGATGACCCATAAGCACGTCGCTTGTAAATCTGCCGACACTTTTTTAGCATTAAAATATGTAGTAACAAAAAGTAACTTTTACCCTCAAAATTTCACTCGAGTCACCCTGTAGCTACGAAACAAATCAGAATCGGACCTATGTTAATATAAAAAAATAATTATTTTTAGGTGAGGAATCTCTCCACGAGAAATGGCACATGTCTTTTGAAACACCCTGTATAAATGGGATATTATATTTTAAAGGAACCTATCACAAAATTTAATAATTTCTTATTTAAGACAATAATTATTTTTGCGTTAAAAAAATTTAACACTGCTCTACAATAATTTATCGTTATTAGAAATAAAAAAATGCGACAAACAAAATATAAAATAAATAAAGCAATTTAAATCGTAATTGAATCAAACAGTATTCTTCTAAATACTGGATAACAGCGTTGCAAGACAAGTTTTCTAAAGTTAGTTAATTTTATATCACCATGACTAAAACAAGTCCTTTTGTTCACAGAGTTCACAAGAGTTTCTATTTAGTTTACTTAAGTGCCGGAGGCTGAATATAAGCCTAGCTTTGTCTCGGTTTAATTCGGCCAATATTTGACTTTATATCACCAGTTTTCCACTTATCCACCAACAATATCCCCCACACATTGTATAAATACGTTACTTACAATTTTTATGTGCCTTTCAGATTAATTTACATAATGTTATTTGTCTCTCTCTGAAGTAATGATCAAAGGGTTTTAAGTAAATATGAACACAATGCAAACACAAATAAGTTGAAAAATATTAGAAAGGTATAAAAAGATACTATAGAATTAGTTTTAATTATAAATAGAAGATAACGATCAGCTAATAATGTACTTTGAGAAAACTGTATAGAACTTTTTTAAAGAAGACTAAGATGTATATTTTTTATACCGAATTTGATCATATAAGATTTATTTTTATTTTTATATTCCATTTTTTCTACAATACTGACAGGTTTCAAACCTACTAGAACAGTATTATCAGTAATTAATATATTATATAATGAACTAGTAGGCGGCCTTTCCGGTACAAATACAATGAAAATAGATTAAAATGAGTACAATTCCAGAAGGTGTACCAGGAGTCCTTCATGCCTTCAGATGTGGATGAAACATGCTATCAAGAACAGTGTTATATCAAAATCCATCTCTAATAAACTAGTTAACGACTTTTTCAGTAAAAATATGATGAAACTGGATACAAAAAAGAGAGTAAATTATACACTCCTAGTTACACCTCCAGAAGGCGAAAAAAGAGTCCTCCATGTCTTCAGATGTGGATGAAATATTCCACCAAGAACATTATTATATCGAAATCCTTCTTTAATAAACTAGTTAACAACATTTCCAGTAAAAATATGATGAAACTGGGTTAAACAGAATAAATTATACACTCCTAGATACACCTCCAGAAGGCGAAAAAGGAGCCCCCATGTCTTCAGATGTGGATGAAATATTCCATCAAGCACATCGAAATCCTTCTTTAATAAACTAGTTAACAACTTTTTCAGTAAAAATATGATGAAACTGGATTAAATAGAGTAAATTATACACTCCGAGTTCCACCTCCAGAAGGTGAACAAGGAGCCCTCCGTGTCTTCAGATGTGGATGAAATATGCCATCGAGAACATTGTTATATCGAAATCCTTCTTTAATAAACGAGTTAACACCTTTTCCAGAAAAAATATGATGAAAATGGATGAAACAGAATAAATTATACACTCCTAGTTACACCTCCCGAAGGCGAAAAAGGAGCCCTCCATGTCTTCAGATGTGGATGAAATATGCCATCAAGAACATAGTTATATCGAAATCATTCTTTAATAAACTTTTCCAGTAAAAATACGATGAAACTGGATGAAACAGAATAAATTATACACTTCTAGTTATACCTCCAGAAGGTGAACAAGGAACCCTCCATGTCTTCAGATGTGGATGGAACCAGGAACCATCAGAAGCAGTGTTATACCGAAATCCCCCCCTAAAGAACTAGTTAGCGACTTTTCCAGCAACAATATCAAGTAAATAAATTAAAAAAAGTAAATTAAACGCCCCTGATTAATGGACGACTTCGTTATTTGATTAAACGAATTAGTCAGGTGATATTAGATACATCACCTGAATATTATAAACTCAGATTTTAATAAAAAATAATAATTTCTTGAAATAAAATAGAAGCAGTTATGGGTATCTAATTACTGGAATTCAACTTGGAAAAATTGAAATGGGAATCATTCAATCTTGATTTAAGTAAGAACAATTTTCGGATTGTCAAGGGGATTTTAATCAGACACTGTAGATTGAATCGAAGAAACAAGGGTGAATGTAGATTCTGTTGGGAAAATAGGAAAACATTAGAACACCTCATCAATGAGTGCGACGAGACAACAACTTTGGTAATTAACCTCTATAAAACCGTCTCAGATACTGGCTTTTGTCAAAGTCCTGAGACTGTATGATGAGTTATTACTCAAGAAAGAGAAACTCAATAGATCTGTAAGGTCGCGGTGATTAACTTCCTCCCTCCTATCCAATCCACAATCTACAAAATCTCACCTCAGCAGATTGAATATAAGAAACATTAGCGAAAGCAGATTCTGTGGAGAAAATGGGAAAACACCAAAATACACAGAGTGCGCCGAGACGACAACTATTTGTGCCATAAACTTTGGTACGACTGATATCGGAGATGGAGAACTAACCTCCGTAAAACCGTCTCAGATACCGGCTTTAGTCAAAGTCCCGAGACTGTATGATGAGTTATAACTCAAGAAAAGGAGACACAATAGATCTATAAGGTCGCGGTGACTTCCCCCTTCCTATACAATCTAGAAACTTCAAAGTCTAATTATCGAAATAAAAGAATATACTGTAGGTGATAATTACAATATCCAGTAAGGATATTTTTGATTGTGGAGTGCACCGAGATGAAGAGTTAAGTGAACGAAGCAACAAGAGGCACTCAAAGAAATTTCTCAGGACCTACGACCGAGAAAAATCAAATATTTTCCTTGTTTTGACTAAGAACAATCTTTGGATTGTCAAGGGGTTTTTAACAGAACACTACCTCCTTGATGAACACCTGAGTAGATTGAAGCTAAGAAACAAAGGCGAATTCAGATTCTAGGGAAAATGGAGAAACACCAGAACACCTCATCAATGAGTGCGATGAGACACAACAACTTTTGTAATTAACCTCTGTAAAACCGTCTAGATACTGGCTTTTTTCAAAGTCCTGAGACTGTATGATGAGTTATAACTCAAGAAAGGGAGACTCAATAGATCTATAAGATCGCAGTGATTAACTTCCCCCTCCTATCCCCCAATCCACAATCTACAAAATCTTTAACACCTTAGCAGACTGAAGATAAGAAACAACAGCGAAAGCAGATTCTGTGGGGATAATAGGGAAACACCAGAACACCTCATAACTGAGTGTGTCAAGACGACAACCATTTGTGCCATAAACTTTGGTACGACTGATATCGGAGATGGAGAACTAGCCTCTTTAAAACCGTCTCAGATACTGGCGTTTTTGAAAGCTTTGAGACTCTATGATGAGTTATAACTCAAGAAAAGGAGACACAATAGATCTCTAAGGTCGCGGTGACTTCTCCCTTCCTCTACAATCTACAAACTTCAAAGTCTAATTATCTAAATAAGAGAATACTGTAGGTGATAATTACAATATCCAGTAAGGATATTTTTGATTGTGGAGTGCACCGAGATGAAGAGTTAAGTGAAAGAAGCAACAGGATCGTGAGGGTCGAAAGGGGTCACAGAAAGCGCACGCTTGCCAACATCCGCACGCGACTGTGCGCCAAGTTAAACCGTTACGGCCACATTTTCAAGTTAGTCCGCGACCAGCCAAGTCCTATATCTCCGGCTCGCGCTCCACCACTTTACGTGGCCGATCCGATTTTTTCAACTCGAATTTTTCGCTCCTTTTTGTGCTAAGTTTTCCACTCTGATTCGGCAGTAAGTATTTTTTATTATATTTTCCAGATATTTTTTTATGAGATTTTACATAATGCGATAAGTAACAACAACACCAAGCGTGTATGGAAAGTTTATAAAGCACACGCGAGTTTTATGTTGACAAACGCAGCGGAAAGTCTGAGGACGTGCGAATAATTTAGAACAATATTTCTTGAAATTTAGCGAGGAACGTCAGTTATCTCACACAGTCAGATACAGATAGTACGACAAATGAATTTTTACAACTTATAGATACGCTTCTTATATTATATTCAAACTAAAATGCAATATATATGTAACTTGTAGTTGAAAGTTTATAACAGCTAATTTTATGTTAATTTTTTTATTATATTTTTCGTTATTACTTAATTTACTTACTCATTTATAATTAAATATTAAATATATGTGCCCAAATTATGAACATACGATACAGGGTGGTATTCCTCTTCAAATGAAATTTTGTGAGCATATTTAGGTTAACTAAGAGCATTTTTAAAAATATAAAGAGTTCTACAGGGTGTCCTTAAAAATGTTATACATCAAACGAAAAAAAATTGCCGAAAATTGAAACTTATTCTACAACAGGAAGAATTGATATGATTCTATTAATTGGTGAATACAGTGTGTATGTACCAATAACAAAATGCTTAAATATTCCAAATTTATCTAAACAGGAATTTTTTTATCGATATGTTAAAGGCAATGTTTACAAAACTCAACCAACTACGGTCGACAATATGAGATAAAAGATTGTGGCTACTTTTTGAAGTACAACTCTATTGTGAAAAACATCTTATTGTGAAAAAGACTGTGTTTGACTATTTGACTTCATATAGCAATTTTTTCTTCTAGTTACAATAATTAAAATATTTTACAAATGTGCGTCTTTTTATTTCCGTTGAATATTTTACTCTAAATCCATATAATTGGTAAATTAAGGTTAGGCATAACATATCCACCTAGATTTTATCAAATAATGAAGATCTACTGACAATAAACTGTAAAAATATCGAGGAAATTTCCATTGGATATTGGAATAATATACTGGGTGTTTAAAATAAAGAAATAAGTGGCTTTTAAAAGTGACCAATGTTCAATATTAATTAAGTTTTAATTTGATTTAAAGTAGAATGGTTATTTTTACTGCACATTAAGCTATTCCGTGTAAATTTTAACTTACCTAGCTTTTATTAAAATTTATTCTTCATTTTTAGTAAAGATTAAATATGTCAAAAATACATTTTAGTCAACGACACTCACCTTTATTTTTTAAATAATTTTCAAATTTTAGTTTAAATTTGTTAAAAAAAAATATTTAAAAATTTTTAAATAAATGAGCGCAAATATTTTCAGAGCTGGTATATCTCTACAAAAGAAACATATTTTCTCTTTATCGTTTTTTAAATACGTCAAAAATAACCGAGATATTTTACTTTGAAAATTAAAAAAAACGTTTTCGCTTAAATTTTGAGAACCACTGGATCTTTTCTGGGTATTCTTTCTTGTAAATTTAATCTACTACATATGTTGCCATATTATGAAGATGTTTTTAACTAAAAATTTTAAAAAAATCCAATTTTTTTTCGCGAAAAAAAAATAGATAGGGATATATATTTAAAAAAACTCTAAATTAACCTACATATGCACACAAAATTTCACTTCAATACAAACTGTCGTTCTCCTTTGAGCCTCCGCGTCGTATGAGAGATGCCACCCTGTATACATATATACAAATAAATTAGCAAGGTTTCATAAATGTATACTAATAATGCAGTAACAACAAAAAACTAATACAAAATGCTTTTATATTATACGGTAAAGTGTAATTTACTCCCAAATGTTTGATAATGGTTGCTAGACATAAAGTTTCACTTTAACAAGATACGGAATTGTTTAGCATTTAGGCGATACTAAAACTGAACAAATACGTCGAATTATTCTGGTTTGTATATTGTTAAATCGGCATGCAGAATGCTTTGTGCTCACGAAATAATTATTGTTCCCTGGAGCGCAACGAGAAAAAACATGTACACATGGTTAAATCTTTTCTAGATGGTCACGACTATATGTATGTTATTGTGTAAATTATTAATAAACAATTAAAAAAGATAAATCTCAAATATAAAATAATATTGACTCGGAAATAATAAAATGTTTGATGACATATTGATATTTATGCGATATGTTTTTTGATGCCAAAAAATTGGTATTATCTAAAAAATAATACAAGTAATATTGAGAAGTCACCAACAAAAAAATTCAGTTAATAATAGCCGTATAATAAGTATCAAAATTTTATATTATAACTATTTTTTCAATGATATATAACTAGCATTCAATAGTTAAATAATCCTAAAAAGCCAAAACGTACATAGAGTTAAATACTTAAACAAATGTTTAATGATAAGTTTTCGTCCCTGGATAAGAAATATAAAACATAAAAAGTTATTTTTTAAACACTACTGGGTTGAACACAAACGCAAGCCAGCTTGTCAGTGGTTTATTACTAGTAAAATAAATTTGCCTAACCGACAAAAAAGGCTTGAACTTTCAGGAGGTATACCTTCTCCAGTCGTCAGAAGTCAGAAACTTATAGAAAGAAGAAAACTATTTAAAATAAATACAACTATTTAAGAACACTTCAAGACACAATAACTTTTTTATTTTGTAGATTTCTTCTCCAGCCAGCAGCTAAAAATCCAGATTTTTCAAGAAATCAGTAATAAGATATAACCTTTTTCAAGAAAGAAATAACATATTTAAGTGACAGTACATTACTTTCTGATTAAATCATTCTTTAACAAATCAACATATTAAATTAATCGACGTTTAAAGCAGTGATTATCTTTGGTCGGTGCTTTCCGCACTCATAGTACCTTTGATTGAATAACCGGTCGTTTATAGCAATAGGCAGACAATACCATGGCTATATCACTAGAATTTAAACGCATATATTCATTTACGCTGTTAGAAAGAGATATAAAAAGGACAGCGAAGTATTAGAATTAAATTTTTATATGTTTACCAGGTTTTACTTTGATTTTAATCATTTACTTGTTTGTATTTCTAGGTTAATTTATACATTTTGATATTTATGATTTACCTTTTTGTTTTGTCATGAATATCTTTTTTTCTTAATACAATAAATCTGTATAAGATCGCGGTGATTAACCCCCCTCCCATATATTCTATATTTTACATTGTAGCATAACCAGGAGCGAAAGTACTGGCCCTAATAGCCTAAGAGCTGACGACATATTTAGAGAACATATTTTAGGCAAGCTAGAGTAACTCAAAATGTATAGTTTGTTAACTGGTGAACCCAGAATCCTAAGTCTGGCTGGAGGGTTGGGGGTATTTCGCTACTGCGCAACCCATAACATTTGCAAAAAAATAAATCCAAAAAACATTCTTTAGGCAACTTGAAATTTGTTTATTCTTAAATTTTAGCATCTATTTAACCTAGAAATAAGTATGCCAGACTTTTTTTTTTGGGTTTAAAGTGTAACCCGGCCATTCCAAATATGTTTAATTATTATACCTGGAAAACATACTTTAGGCATTCTAAAATTTTTACAGTGTGTTTATTAGATGATATTAAAAAATATGTGTTAATTGCTATTCAATGGGATTTAATAATTGCCTGATACGAATAAATATTTTAAATGAGCGCGATAAGAAAGTCTTATGAGTATCTATAAGCGCGAGAAAGATAGTTTATTGAGACCCGTCAGGGCAGCCGTAGGCAGCATTTTGGAGTCGTAAAAATTAAAAAAAAACTAACTAATATTGAATAAATAAAAAGAAACATTTTTTAATAAAAATGTATGATTGAAATCCTTTCAATAAGAAGACTTTTTAATTTAAGTATTTTGTATCTGAAAGAATAACAAGACGAATAATTATTTAAAAATTAGCATAATATAAAATATATTTTTTTCAAACGTCACAAAAGTATAATTATTATTATACTTTTGTGACATATTATATTATTATTCATTTTTGCGACCTGATTGACAATATAAAAAAGTCATTTTAACGCCTAAGCATAGAAGTAAAGCACTTTTACTTACTTTTGAATCTATTTAGAAAGATTAACAATGGTACTTTAATAAAATTCCAGAATACTTGTTTTTTAGAACTGTACATGGTACCTTTTTGTCGGGACTACGTTTTCTGGTAAACTTCTTTAAATTTTAAACCATGTTGTTGGCGCACTTTTAAAAATTCTTTGCATTTTTGTAGTCTGCCTTCATCAAAAACAATAAATTTGTCACTAGTAACTTTTTACAAACTACACAACTTAAATGTTTTTTATCCATTGTGATTTAGTAGTTAGTAGCGAAATTAGTAGTTACTAAAATATTTATTTGCAGTAATTATTCTAAACTATTTACACTATGCACGTCAATATTTAATTTATAAATACATATTTGTACATGGTAACTTAATTCCAACAAAATAATCTCTGAATTAAAAGCCTGCAAATAATTGAAATGAAACCGGAAAAAAAAAGTTTTTATGAAAATTTGAAGTACTCCAAAATACTGTTACGTCAGCCGCATCGGCTCATCATCAGCTGCCGGGTCTCAATAAACTAACTTTCTGGCGCTTATAGATAGATAGACTCATAAGACTTTTTTGTCGCGCTCATTTAAAATCTTTATTCGCGTCTGGCAAGTATTAAACCCCATTGAATTCGTCTGGCACTTAACACATATTTTTTTAATATCATCTAATAAACACGCTGTAAAAATTTTAGAATGCCTAAAGTATGTTTTCCAGGTATAATAATTAAACATATTTGGAATGATCGGGTTATACTTTAAACCAGAAAAAAAGTCTGGCATACTTATTTCTAGATTAAATAGATGCTAAAATTTAAGAATAAACAAATTTCAAGTTGCCTAAAGAATGTTTTTTGGATTTATTTTTTTGCAAATGTTATGGGTTGTGCAGTAGCAAAATACCCCCAACCCCACAGCCAGACTTAGGATTCTGGGTTCACAAGTTATTAAAGTTTATTTTTTTTTGTTATTCTAACTTGCCTAAAATATGTTCACTAAATATGTCGCCAGCTCTCCGGCTATAATACAGTTAACTAAGTTGTGAAACATTTTTGTTGCATTCATTCATATTATTGGAGATACTAGGAACACATTTCGCGCAAATATAATTTAACAGAAAGTGTTAAAACAGTGTTAAAGATGTTTTATAATACAATAAATTCAAAAACGTACTTCAAAAAGACGTATCCGTTCTATTGTCATTCTATGTAACAGTAAAAGCGCCTGAAAAGCATTTTATATTATCCGGTAGACTGTAATTTACTCACAAATGTTTAATAGTTGTAAAACATAAAACCAAGCGGCGTAAGCGCTTCCCTAAAGCTCCATGTGTGCTTGAAAAAAAAAATTAAAACCCATATAAATAAATGGTTTTAAGTCTCAGTGATTATGGAATGTACATATGGAATTTACGGTTGGATAAATCAAGAATGCGAAAATTCCTAACAACGCTGCGTTATACCCTTACAGCGGTATTACATTTTTGTGCCACCAGCTAAGTATTAGACAATATCCAGTGTCCTGGAAGTATTTATTATTATGTTTAATATAACGTGGGATATTAAAATCCTTTATTCGACCGGTCAAATTACTGGAGTGACTTCATTTTCGAAAATATCTCGGTCGTATTAATTTAATTTAAATCGATTCAAAAGTCCTCTGCGGAAAACAATATCGTCGTAAACAAGTGAAAATTTCGGTTTTCGTTGATAGCATTTAAGAAAAAAAACCTTGGGAAAAATACAGATACCACAACCGAATTTTTAATTCGTCTTTTTACTCAGAATCAAAATTATTAATTTGAAGATTTTTTTTTGAATATAATTGATAGCAGAATAGGTAACTTTTTTAATAAACAATTAGAAATCGAAAAAAAGTTGAACGAAGAATCAAATAATAAAAGGAGATGCAATATTCTTCTCAAATGTCAACACAGCTTTTATTAAGCATTGCCAATAATATTCTGTATAAATAAGCAACCAGAAAAATATTTAAGAAAAAGAAATAACCTTTAATGTTTCAACCGAAATAAATTCATTGTTAATGATAAAATGTATACTTAAGTATATCATTGTTAGGTATTATTGTTAAGGAAAAAAATCTTCAAATTCAAATTATTTAAAAAAATAAAATAAATTATCATTATCAAATGTTAATTAGGGAAACATTTTTTTTGTATATCTGATGCTTCACCTCTCATCTTCAAATTTTAGTCACCTATCATCTTCAAATTTTATCGTTGTAGAACTACTATAAAAATTGGGATATTCACATAACAGTTATATTCACTTAATATGACTCACCATATATTTACATTGTCCCAGGAAGAAATAAATGGCCACTGCTACTGGTTCCTCCAATATTATATTCTAATTCTTTCTTATATTCCAAGTTCATCCTTATATTCTATCTTCTTAATTCTCTTCTTTTTCCTGGATTGTTGGTAAATGTTCAATGGGTTGCAATCACGTATTTCTTCACAATAGAGAATCGTCTTCTTCGTCTTTAAATTTCTACAAAATAGGTTGTGTGTTGGGGGTAATGGGACCTAAATTAAAAAAAATAAGGGCTAAATAATTCACTAAAGGCCAGTATTAAATTAATATTCATTATTTTAAAAACTTATATACTAAATGTGAGTAATCCACTCCCGAAAAGTTAACTTAAAACAGTTGAAGACTTGAAGTAAATAATGTTCTAAGTGCCACAAAATTATTATTTTAGGATAATTTTTTTTGTTATACATAAAACCAATGTTAGAAGAACGGGCGGTGTCTCCGTTGAGAATTTTTTAATACAATATAATAGCCGCGGCACTTAGCGCGTTATATATGTTCTTGGTTATGGAACTGAGGACATTTTACAAATAAAACACTACAAACCGATTTTTTGGCACTTAGAACATTATTCACTTCAAATGTTTAATTATAAACTACTACTATACTACTTACGATACAGATATGTCTTCTTCGTGGTTCCTGGCGGAAGGCAAATAGATATCGCAAAATTTGAGATATAATTATAGATTTATCAAGAGTAGAGTTAAAGATTTTGAAAATACTATACTAATGAAAGTATTTAGATTTAAATAAAATAATATCTTAATTTTTGTAAGTATGATTTCTGAGATTTGTATTAGAAAAAAATAAATAAGCTGAAGATTTTTTTTACAAAGATATTTATATCAAGTAACAATAATAAATAGTGAGAATTTGAAACTATTTAAATTTAAATAGAATGTTATTTTGATTTTTGTTAAATGCATAGTTATTTTCTGAGAGTTGTATTAGAAAAAAATATAAATTAGCTCAAGACAAAAATGATTTTATTGAATAAAAATAATAAATAGTGAGAATCTGACAAAATATATCGATTATATGCTTGCTTTTTTATTAAAACACCTTACTAAAAAGTATTTAGATTATATTTTCAAGATCATGTTTGTCAATTTACCTCCTTCGTTGCTTCGAAAGAACTTATACGGGGGAAATTAGCCCTCTTAGAGATCAGCTACACATCTTCCTTGCTCCGTGACGACTCATAAAAGGGACATTAGCCCCCTTAGAGGTCAACTACACCTTCTTTGCTTCAGGAAGAACTCGATTTCGAACGACCCTAAAAAGATGAGATCCTCTCTAAAAATCTTTTTAATACTCGCGCAGTCTAGTATATCTCCGATAGATGTCATCTCGAAAAATCTTGCCTTAATAACGATAAAATTAAATCCGATCCTAACAAGACGATATCTCTTCTAATAACTTTCTAATAATCGCTCAGTCGTAATACTGTCTCCGATACTCATCTCGGCAAATGTTGTCTTAATAAAATAAAATTTATACCGATCCTAACAAGATGGCATCTCTTCTATAAAAACCCTCCTAATAATAGCTCAGGTGCAATACTACCTCCAGTAGATGTCATCCCAACAAACCTAGCCTTAATAACGATATATTCGAACCAATTTTAACAAGATGTCATCTCTCCTAAAAACTAACTATATCAATTCGCCACTTCTATCCTCTATTGCTTCTTTCTTCAGTAAAGACACTCATAAGGGTTAGTTCCCTTAGAGTCCGATTACACTTTCTTCCTTGCTTCATGAGGATTCATAAGGGGGACATTAGCCCCCTTAAAGTTCGTCTTACTCACACCTAGGGATATATAACAACTCGCAAATGCAGACTATAAGCCTACCACTAACCTGAAAGAATAGAGAAAAAGCGTTAGTTGGAAATACACGAAAATGAGATGAGTCATATAACATACCTGGTTCACCTGGTTTAATTTGGTTCTGGGCCTTAATCCTAGATGGTGTTTCCATAATCTGCGTTCTAAAATGGCATTGTACGTCATCAGGAACCGCTGCATCAAGCCAAGGACCATCAAACAATTGTTACTAAAAAATAACAACAAATGAGATATCAACTGCTGCTATATTTTAGAGGAAAATTGAAGAAGACACCAGACACTGAATTAAAAACAAAACAAAAATCCAAACCTTTAAAAAGTTATGGCTATAGTTTTACGACATTCTTTGAGTATGTTAATATAGACACTTCTTAAGAAGACAAATATATCTTAGTCAGAAGAGTAACAGGAAGCTCAACATTCAAAAGGAAATTAAAAATCTACTGAGGAAAAATATTTCTAAATATTTTTTTATATAAAATGTCTAAGTGAAAGTGAAAATTTCAATAAAAGGTTGAAAATTGTATATTATATACTGCATGATATGATCAAAAAAAAACATTTACTTTACCTTTAATAACCATTCTTTGACACAAAACTTACAGACCAAAAAAACATCAATGCGTCTCGAACGGTAGTCTAAAAGCTATTACCTAACACCTATCTGTTCGTTGTCTGATTTCCCTCTCCCTAGTGTGTGAATAATATTTTAAAATTCAATAATCTTGTTAATGTATACAGAGTGTCTTAAAAGTGAGTCTTTTGGATTTAAAGAAATATGTTTTATTTTTAAATTGGCGGGTAGGATTCAAGATGGTAGAACAATCTGCATATTCTGATGATGATATAAATACCTAAAACTTAATATTTTTATACTTTTAGAAAAATCTAAATTATGAAGTACTAACTACACTGTCTACTGTTACTTGAAATTATTATGTTAAAAATTATATACCTAAAAATATAATACTAATAAAATAATAAACAAAATATATGTTCAAAAAAGATAAATGTTTATTAAAAATAAAAATATCATAATCAAGATAATAACTGCTACACTTTTATTCAGAAATCATTTATTAATAATGAAATTCCTTATGTTAAAATTTCTATCGAACGAACTATCAAGGTAATTAACGTGGTAATTGAGTAAGAGTGTAGCTATATCTAATTAAATAGTAGAAGGAAGGTACAGACTCATTAAGTGTATAGATATTCAGCTATTGTATCGGTGAAGATTCTTAATAGGCTCTAATGTGCTTCCTCGACTTCCTTGTAACAAAGCCCGTATCGAAATATGATTAAAACTTGAGACCATTGACACAAAGCACAGCATATGCACCTATTATTATTATTATTATTTCTCTCTTAAGAGGTATCTAACTTCAAAGTAAAAGTGAGAATTTGGTAAGAGGCAATACGGCTTATTACTAATAAAATGAATCAAAATAATCTAATTTAATGTTTATATAAAATAATTACATAGCAAATTTTATACAAAAGATATTTTAAGATCTATTCTGTTTGACTGAGGACTCTGTATATTCGAAAGTCATCTCTGTAAATAGCCAACAGCCGTTACTCTAGGAATATAGTGAAAAAGAATATTCTTTTCAACTTTTCATAAAGTTTTGGCAGCGTTAGTTATCTATAAAGACGAAGTGTACTTGCTGTAACTTTGGTGCTCCCAAGTAATGAGAATAAAATAAACACCAAGTATAAAATTTTTACCTAAGTGTATTCGAAAATACGTTGTAGGTTTTTTTTTATTTTCTTTAACCTTGTCTTTTACCTAGTTCATTGCAATTTATTTTAGCTCTTCACATAATACTAAACACATCTTATTGAATATTAATAAGAAAGAAAGTATATTAAAATGAAAAATGGTAATAGAAATAAAATAAATAAAATGATAAAAAGCCTGTTTTTTGTTGGCTGGTTAAGCTAAAATATTTAGTGAATTAAAATTTGGATAATTGAATAAATTTTGTTTTCATTATTAATTCGTAATTAGTAAACATTCTCCATTTTGAAACTGCCTCGGCCGCAAAAATCCACGGAAGGGAAACTTAATATATTTTAATTTAAAACTGGTATAAGTTTCTTCCCCTTTATTAGCCCACACCATTTTTATATAAATATTCATAAGAAATGCGCTAAAGTTTAACAGCGGTTTCAATTATGGCCCCAGTTATTTTTCCTAACTGCTGGATAAAGAATTCAATGTCAATCAAAGTGAAAAATGAGTATCAAAATAAAACTACATTTTCTAAATATAATACTTCACCAATTGATATGAAAATTAGCTTTTTAATATCGTTATATGATATTTTTATTCATAACTATCTTGGAACTTTTAGTACAAAAACAGAAGCAAGCTTGAATACCGTGAAAAATATATTAGGATACTTATTTCACCTTGACTTAATTAAAATTCTTAATATATAGCTATTTATAGATGACAAACTGTCACAGGATGTTAAAATTAATAACACACCTTGCTTTAATTAGCCTTGAAAATTTATAAGCCCTGGTTTGCCTTTAAATCTTATTTTTTTCAAATTACCTTAAGTATATTTCGTTATTAATTTAGTGCTTGAAAGAAACATTAATAAAATTATCTACTATGTATATGTTTTTCGACATCTTATTTATAAGTTATATACAGATTAATAAAACATATTTTTGTCTAACTCTGTTGTTAATTAGCAATATAAACCATAATCAAAATTGGAAAGATACTAAGAAAGTTAGTGTTCAATAAAACCACTGTTTTATTTGAAAAAAAAATTATGTGTGCACTACGCGCGCATATTTGAAGTGGAACTTCCAAACAACCAAACTTCTTATTAACAGAAATCAAATAGAAGGATTTGAAGGACATGCCTGAAAAAGTGTAGTTTGAAATGTTGAAAAAGTAGTAAATTAAAAATTAAATAATTTGATTCACTTTCACAAAATTTGCATTAAAATGACCGTCTGTCCGTCTGTATTGTATGTAATTTTGTATAGTCTATAGAGAAACTAATTAATAACAATTATTTGATTCATTCTCACAAAATTTGTATTAAAATATCAATCTTTTTGACGTATTTTTAAGCTGTAGGCTGTTCTTCTTACCACTTTTCGTCTCGTGCTAGCTTGTGTGTCATGGCCTTGAATTTTGACTCCCAGCGCGCGTAAAGAAGTTTCACTTCAAAAATTGAGTTATGGTTAACTTGCCGGTTAAATAGATGCCCAAATCCTACTTGAGCGTCTTTTTAACCGGCAAGTATATTAACCTAACCTAACTAACACACGAAAAACCTTAGACAATAAAATCTATTTTTCCAAAAGCTCCTTGATTAAAAATTAAT